GTAGAACCTGTTCCCATCATAGAACTCTGGTCCTGTGACCCATCAAGTGATGACTCCTGAGGACTCGAGCAATATTGCTCCCACGGGACTCCAGAATTGTATTGTCTTCTTTTTGTGAGTTTGCTGTTGGTAACTGCCCAAGCCCAGGAAAACATTGTAATCCACCTTCTCCCTTCCCTTCCCACTTGTGTTTTGTGCATATAATCTCCGTCTTCACTTTAGCAAGGTGGAATTCTGATGAGGAGAATTCCCAGTTTACAAATCTGTTCCTCATAATGAAACTAATTAATTAAACAGCTACCTGATTACTGACACTTTGTCTCTTGCCTGCTGTTTTGTCATTCTTAGGTTAGGGACTGGCTCAGAAAAATCCTGTTAACGTTGTCCTTCATGCTCAAAGAGGACCAAAATGGCATCACTATGTTGAGGGCAAGGTAGGGTATGTTTGACTGTGGCTGATAAGACCAATACGAGCTTAGAAGGCTCTACCTCAGGTCAGGCACAAATAGTCCATATGAATACTTGGAGTGGATCTGTCTCTAAATTTGTGCATGTCACATTTTTTTGAGGTACTGTAATTCTGCTTTGCTCATGGAACACAAAGCCTTCCTTGATGTGGGTATGTCAGTTCTTGGCACTCCTGTGCCAGTGTGTCCCATGTCTCATAGTCAATTCTAGAATTCTTCAGAGAGACCTTGAGTGTGTTTTTGTATCGCTTCTTCTGACCTGTGTGTGAGTGCTTGCTTTGTTCAAGTTCTCCAGTCTTTTAGGCAAACATACATTTGGCAATTGAGCAATTCAGACAACCCATCAGAGCTGTGTTCTCTGCAGAGGAGTTTGAATGCTTGGCAGTTCAGCTTGAGAAAGGACATCAGAATCCTGTACCTTATCCTGCCAGGTGATCTTCAGATTCTTCCTAAGACAATTCAAATGACGATTCAAATTCCTAAGACAATCCTGGCATGGTGTTGGCACACTGTCCATGTTTCACAGACATACAACAATGAGGTCAGTACAATAGCTCTGAAGACCTTCAGTCTGGTAGGCAGTCTAATACCTCTTCTTTGCCACACTTTGTGTGCATTAACCTCATCATGTATGTGTACATCCCTGGAAAGTATACTGCCAAGGTAAGTGAATTTATCCACAGCATTCAGAATTTAAAAATTTGTTCCTTCCTTATTCCAAATCATTAAAAGGGAGAGAAAGAGAGAGAGAGAGAAAGAGAAAATTGAGACTTATCAATCATGTCTGACAGTACAGATAGTATTCCGTGTCTATAGTAATCCTCACCTCTGTGAAAAGAGGAAGGATGTGCATTTATTCAATTCTTCTTCCATGCCAAACTTGGCCAATATAATTACGGGATTTTATTTGTTTTTTATGATTATACTGCTGCATTCAATATGCATACTGCTTTTCCTGGTTCTGCTTACTGTACTCTGCATCAGTTCGTATGTCTTCTAATGCTCCTATGAATACTTCATACTTCTCATTTCTTAGAGGTAGTAGTTATTTCTATTTTAATAAAGTATTTCTTTGATGTTTTGTAAGCTTCACTACTTACAATGGAAGCAGAGGACAAGAGAACAGATCCCTAAAAAAACATGAGCCAAGTTCAGTTGTTCTCAGGGTCTGAACCCTAGGCAGGGGCTGAGTCATTACTGAGTTATTATTAAGGTGGCAACCAGTCTGAGTGAAGTTTGGTGCTGAAGTATTGAGCCATGGGCTTATGTGCACAAAGTGCTCCAACACTACCCTCCTGTCAATCCCAAGTCCTTTCTTTCATGTAGAACTACATTACTGCTTAAAATCTCAGCCCATCTCAGGGGTCCCCCTCAATGCCTCACACAAAATCTATCCCCTTTCTTTCAGTCCTGGAGCTCACCTGCAGGCCCCAACCAAGCTCAAACCCTTAACTCCACAGTTTCAAATCACCTAATTGCTTGCTACAATTATTTTTATTATCAGCTACTCCAGCCCTCAGTCCTAAAATCCTTCTATCATTTCACTATTATTTATTCAATAAAAGTTATTGAATTCTTATATTTTTCCTATGGTACTCCAGATGTGGTCTGACCTAGGCAAAGAACATCAGTACTGTCATCCTTTTTTCTGTACATTTCCATAAAGACCCAGTTCAAATGCCATCTTCTACATGAAGCCATCTGGATGAGTGTGTCTTTGGAAAAATTTGTAACCAAAATGCATGGATCTCAGTCCTGGCTCTTGACATATCTCAATTATATTGGTGCCTTAAGTCACTTATACTCTCTAAACCTCAATTTCTGCATTTGTAAAATAAGAATAACTATCTCACAAGGGTAGCTATTAGGAAAGTGCTTCATGATGTGTTTTGGACCTATCTCTTTTGGAATTTACAACATTCCTATCACTGTTGTAGCACATTCATGTTCTACTTTATTGATATGTATGTCCATTGAATTCTGAAGAAGGAATGCCATGAATTGAATTATTTCTGTATTAACAGTGTGACCCTGGGCAAATTATACTCTAGGACTGTATTTTTTTTTCCACTGTAAAATGTGGGAATTGGAGCAGATGTCTCTAAGGACCCTTTTAAAACTAGTATTCGCTTCCCCTACTTTCAGCTCAAGATGCTTTCTGTTTCTACCTCCTTTGGGGAAGTAGTATTTGCATATTTTTGTTTTGTTTTGCTTTTAAGAATTAAGCAAATAATGATAGATGTCTGAGTTTTTGCAGGGCTCAGGTGGAAAATGTATTAAGTTTATTTTATATGGGCCCAGTGGTCATGGGTAGAAGCTGCAAAGAGGTAAATTTATTTTGATATGGGCAACTTCCTAACAAGCAGAGCTACCATTGAGTAGAATGGGCTACTTCAGGAGGTAGTGACTACTCTCTTCCTGTAGGCGTTTGAAAAGAGATTGGATGACTACTTGTTCCAAATGTTGTACTGCAGATTCCTTTTTGGGTAAGGATTGGACTAGATATTCATTTCCAACTCCAAAATTTTATGATTCTGCTATTTAATGTACCTGGAAAGGAAAAATCATCTATGTCCACATCTCTAGGTTTTTCTACAGAAAATAACCTCATCTTGGAAATCTTAGACTAAAGTTGTGGTGTAAGCCGGTGCTCCCCTACCTTTGCTTAATTTTACTAAAGGGGATGGTTATATACTGTCTCTGCCCATTTTGAAATGTGAGGTCTCACTTCCTTTAGAGATGTGGTTATACTTTTGATTCAAAATAGCATCATATGTTTTATAGGGCTGAAAATAGGCTTCAGAGATGATCAAGTCCAACCCCATCACTTTATAGATAAGGATACTGAAGTCCAGAGAGAATCAATGACCTTTCAAGGTCATACAAACATAGAACACTTAGTACCTAAATGCATTTTATTCCCAAATTTATAGATCTTGTTATTACATCACACTACCTCTTACAAACAATTATTAAGCATTTACTGTGTGCAGACCATTGTGCTATGGGTGGGAATACATACCTGTATCCTGGGTTGGGTAAAAGATTGGCCTTATTTCAACTTTGTATTTATCAAAGATATAACTCTCTAACCTTATCACATAGATTTGAAAATAGAAGCACAAATGTAGAAGTACTCTGGCTTCTTGGAGCTCTCCATTTAAAACTCTCTGATATACCAGCACCAGCCATGACAGAGATAGAACTCTCCAAGAGCTCATTAGTGTTGGCCCCTGTAATTTGCTACAGTATTACCTGAATTTCAGAGCCCTTGAGGGACTTAGCTTTAGACAAAGGAACCCCTAACCTCAGCATTCATCTCCATCAGTTTCAGGCCTCAGTTTCTCCACCTGTAAAATAAAGGGATTGGACTAGATGAACTCAGACCTTCTTTCCAACCCAAGATCCAGTGATCCTACAGTTAATGAGTTCATTTGCTTAGGCTGTGTATTGAGGTTGAGAATCTGTACTCTTGATCCTCTTATTCTGTGTCCCCCTCCCCAGTGCCTTAACCTCTTTGTACCTTAGCTTTTCTTTTTCTTTTTAAGGATTACTGGTAACAGTTATCTTTCCCTTCTTTCCCACAAAATGGGGTGATTTGAAATGAGATATTGTTGTGCGGAAGTGGTGAAGAGCAGGTCACAGAGTCTTTGGGATCCCTGTTATTCTGAATATTTTCCAAGATATATCCCAGGATATCCAGGAATGCTTCGAAGTGATGAGAGTAGGTACAGAGTAGAGTTGCAGCAGCGGCTGGGATGGGGGTGGGGGGATGGAGAGGTGGGAAAGAGAAATATCTAGTCTACTCTCATTTTGAGGCCAAAGAGGGGAAGTGACCTACACAAACTTTGAGCGGCAATTTAGTGGCAAATCAAGGAGTGGCACATGTCTCCTGACTCCAGGTCCAACTGAAGGGTATTTTAGTAAGAGAACAGATAGGGGTGGGGGTGGGAATGGGGGAAGCAGAGTGTACTAGATGGAAAATGCACCTACTAATAGAAAATGGAAGTGGTAGGAGGAAGTGGGGGAGCTGGGCAGGAGTAGAAGGAAGCAGATTCTCTAGCTTCCTCTTTCTCTCCTTATCGCTCGCCCCCGACACTAAATACTCTCTCGGGTTACCCCACCCTACTATTCAGAAGTTCTTGGGTCAGTCATCTAGCTTCTTAGGGTCTTGGGATTTGGGATGCTGGTTGTATTTTTACTCTGATGAATGAAGCCATGTAAATCACTTTCCCAGTTATTTCCCCTGCTGCATCTAATCCGCTGACAGGCAGGGAACAGGACTTTCCTGAGACAGGCAGGGGGGTCTTGGGTTAGTTAGAAAGTGGGCAACTGGAGAGCACAGAATCCCGAAGTCCGTGAGAGTCAGGGCTGGGTTCCGCTAACTGGGGCCTCCCGGGGTATTCATTGAGCACCCGCAACTTAAACCGTAGGGCGTGGCAGCGAGAAAGCTTTGGGAGTCCCATCAGCTCCACTCCGCCCCATTCCGGGGCGAGACTCGGCAGCTGGGTGGGGCTGGAAGGTCTGGCCCGAGTCTAGATGCCCCCGCCCCTGCAGTTCAGACCCAGCCCGCGGCAATTAACTGAAAGAGGAGTCAGGGATCAGTTTGGGGGATTCCGAGCTATGGTTGGGGTCGAAGCGCAGCTACACGGACTGTAGCCAGAGAACGAGCCAGGAGGCGCTCCATCTCGAGGATGGGCAAGGTGTCCGGCCCGGGCAGCAGGTGTGTTGGCAAGGGTATCCGTGCCCAGGGCCTGGTGCCCAGGGGAGCAGGTCTGGGGGACTAGATGCGGGGCGGGGGAGGGGGGTGGAACAATGGGAGTGGCAGATGAATGCAAACAGTGGAGAGGGAGTGGGGTAGGGAGGGATGGAGCTGGAGACTGTAGAGGACCGAGGATTTAGGAGCTTGCCTTTTATATCCCCTCTTCCTCCCTACGCAGCCGCCTAATTTAGTCTCTTTTAAATGCACGTCTGGGTATAGATATAAAGCTTAGTGACTTTAAGTTATATGGACCAGACTCTCAACTTGAGGCAGTTGATGTGGCCCAGACCCCATGGGCCCAGACTGATATGAGCTCAGGAGGAAGGGGAGACTTAGGAAGAAAAAGGAAGAGGAGCTGAAAAGTACAGGATGTGGTCCAAAGTTAGTTAACAAGCCTTAAGTGCATATGTCGGGGGTGGCGTCGGAGCAGAGGGGAAGGTAGCGGCGTGGAATATAGTTAGGCAAAATTGTTAGAATACCAAATTTATCTTTTAAAGGGGTTTTAAACTCCTTCTTAGTTTTTATAATCCACAACCAGTGACTCAGTGCCTCCGTCTAAATTTACCTTAACCTTAACCCTGAGGGTCTAATTCTCAACTTATAAAATATTCGGTTAAAATGTCATAGGATCATAGATCTAGAGCTGGGAACCTCAAGTAGTACAGGTCATGGAGGTAAGCTTCTGAAGCAGAATTTGAAACCAGGGCCTCTGACTTCAGAGTCATTATTCTAAAACTTACAGTATTTTTACAGAACTGCAGACTAGACAAGCAGGTAAGAAATGCAGACATCATCTAGTCCAACACCATCCTCTTACACATGAGGAAAGTGAAGCCTACAACAGTGAAAGGATTTCTGAAATTCCTTTTTAGTTCAGGATAGCTATAATTCTGTAACTTCCTTAATGTGTTCTCCCAACCTAGTGACATGTTTGCATTTTAAATGGACTTTTCTGGAGATACAATTCCTTAACCCAAGGACTTTAAAAGGGGAGGGGTAGGAGACATGCCTAAGTAGGCCAACATTCCTCTCCCTTGGTATAAAGGAAATTATTGTTATTGTTATTATTAATAGCTAACATTTATATAGCACTGGATTTGAAGCCAGGACACTTGGGTACAAATGCCAGATCATGTCCTTACTAATTGTGCAAATGTCACAGAATCAACAATCAACAAGTATTTATTAAGCTGTGTAGATATTATGCTAAATGCTGGGGGTACAAATATAAAGTAAAAACAGTCCCTGTTCTCAACAAACTTCCATTCTAATAATAGCATATTCATAAACTGGTACATACAGGCCTAAATACAAAGTAATGATAACAGCTAATATTGTTCAGTTGTTTTTCAGTCATGTCCAACTCTTCATGACCCCATTTGGGGTTTTCTTGGAAAAATACTGGAGTGGTTTGCCATTTCCTTCTCCAGCACATTTTACAGATAGGAAACTAAGACAAACAGGGTTAACTGACTTGCCCAGGGTCACACAGCTAGTAAGTGTCAACTGTCTGGTTTGAGACCACATTTGAATTCAGGTCCTCCTGACTCCAGGGCCAGTGCTCTATCTACTGTGCCACCTAGCTGCCCCAAAAATAATGTTTTAAAATGCAAAACAAACAGCAACATAGGATTACAACGGAAACCAATTATATTGAAATACATATATATATTTATATGTAATATATATCCATGTATTTATGTGTTATATATCTTAGATATACATACATATTTTCTATATCATTAATATTATTATATAATTATATTATGTTATTATATAATTAATATATGAATGTATATAAATTTATTATACAATAACTATTATATATATGTAGATGTAGGTATGTGTACACACACACACACACACACACACACACACACACACACACACACACACACACA